CAGATAGCATTCCCCCCATGATGTCATTTACGTTGAGTTGCAATAAATGCAAAACTCTCTGCAGGTTCTTGTCTTTGGCGTCCACTCTATTCAGCTGGCTTTGGAAACACACGGCGAGAAGGTGGGGGCTGGGTGGTGAGGGTTACGGGGGCGAGAAAAGCAAAAGTAACGCAATAGTTAGTATTACTAGTAACTAGTTACTTTTATTGTGGAGTAACTCAGTTACTAACTCAATTACTTTTTTGGAGAAGTAACTAAAGTAACCTGCCCAACACTGCTTATAAGTCATTGCGTCTAGCTTACCCCTAAACGTATGAGTAACTTTTCCTCCATACTTCATCTCCATCATAGGGTGAGCCAGAAGGTGAGTGTGATGGATCCTCCCTGCGTTCACGCCCACCACCAACAAACTTCCTAGCAGACATCACGCTCAAATCTGTTGCCACCAAAATTATTTTATTTTTATTCACTTTTTATTTCTTCCTCTTTTTTATGCTGCCATGCATATGTATAAGTTAGACTGTCATTGGACAGAAGTTCTGGACTCGTTATGAATACTCTATGAGCCTAGAATAAAAAGAATCCACAGAAAGTTCAGTGTAGGCCAGCGTTTTAGGAGATTCTGGGACGTGAGGAATACGCTGGCTAAATCATCAAGGTGTGACAGGGGCCTAAAAATGCAGACAGAAACACTGTGGTTAGTTTTTCTTGTGCCTGTTGTAGTTTTTTGTTCTCTGCTTGGATTAGATCGTTTGATCAAACCTCTAACATCCAACACTATAAAATCGACTATGTGTGATTCATGCTTATGTTGTATCTAGTTATCATTGGTCGATACTAGGGATGGGACGATTTATTAAAACCGTCCGAACCGTTCGGTTCGACTGTCTCGGTTCGATTCGCGTGTGTTTCGTTCGGTTCATGCACTGCTCCTTTTTCTCATAGGCGAAGCGTTTACACTCCAGAGCAGAAGGTGGCGGTACTGCAACCAAAGCCAACCACCAGTAGTAAACAAGAAGAAGAAGAAGAAGAAGCGAAGCAGCTTAGCCGGGTGTATCAGGGAAAAAAATCAGTTGTTGTGGAGAATTGTGTGGGTATGGCGAGTGGGAAAGAACAGGAGTTGGAAGACGCGCCAGCAGCACTTTATAGGTCTGCTGTATGGGACCGCTTTGCATTTAGAGTGACCTACGATGACGGCGGAAAAAAAGTTGTGGATAAAAGTGCAACAGTGTGCAAGCATTGTGCAACACGTTTTGTTTATGCTAACAGCAACATGACCAACATGTCATGCTAACCCTGAAATCCCTCATACTCCGTCAGCGCTCCGCCCCGCTGCGCTCCAGACCGGCTGCTCAAAGCAAAGCATACAGCCTCCACTGTGGCTCCCGTCCGCTCTGCTCTGAGTCCCTTGGAGATGGTAGAGAGCATGAGCGAGATGATTAAATTCAAAGCAGCAAAACATACGGAAATGATCCAGGGTTTCCGCGGATCATTTAAAATAATTACAATCCATTATTTTTGGGGGTATTTTTTCATTAATTTCATACATTTTTATGGGATTTCGGTGTAACAATCAACATATACCGAATCGAACCAAACCGAAAACCGTGACCACGAAACCGTGAAGCGAACCGAACCGTGGATTTTGTGAACCGTTCCACCCCTAGTCGATACTCAAAGCTGCTGTATTGTAATAGAAAAGCTACATCAGGACAGCCCCCATCTCACCACATGGTTTCATCCAGAATACTTGTTGCTGTTGGCTTATCTGGGACTGGGTCACAAAGTTCCTTCTTCCCAGATACCTCCTCAAGCTGCTCTCGGAAAAGCTCAAGGCATTACAAGATCTGCTGAGAAATCGTCCCTCTAACACGTTCCGAGTCGCTCCTTGGGCCTTTTCTCTATAGGACATTCCTTGCCACCATGTCTATACTCCTGGAGCACAGGGCTCCATGACAACCTTCTCTAGATCTAGCACAGGTGCACTGTTTGGGCAAATTCCCTTAAACCTTGAGCATCCTGCAGAGGTTATAGAGCTGGTTCAGTGTTTAGAGCCGTAATGAAACTAACACAGTTTTCCTCCTGAAGCCAACGATTGACAATCAGTCCAACTCCCCCCCCCAGCATCCCAGCCTTCCTTCCTGGGAGGCTAGGAATTGTGAGCCCCTGTAGTTGGAACACTTTCGTTTACCTGTTCTTGTGAAGAAGAACCACTCCTTCCATAAAATCTCAAAGTGACCGCAACATCTTTTCCAATATCCCTTCAGGGATTAATTCATTTTAAAACATATCTTGAATGGTAGAGTCAACTTTATTGTAGATGCAGAGGATGTCTGGACACCAGTTCTAACAAAATTTGCACAATGACCAATTAAACTGAAAACATGAAACTCAGCCCTAAACACCATTTGATATTGGGGCTAGGGTCATAAAATGTCACTTTGAGATTGATGGAAAATGTATTATTACTTCTGTCTTTGTCTCCCAGTCCAGGGAAATTGTTCCTGGCCACCACAAGAGGTGCTGGACGGTTGGAGGCTGACTGGTATCTAGACTCCATTAGGGATGGGACGATTTATGAAAACCGTCCGAACCGTTCGGTTCAACTGTCTCGGTTCGGTTCAAAGCAGCAAAACATACGGAAATGATCCAGGGTTTCCGCGGATCATTTAAAATAATTACAATCCATTATTTTGGGGGGGATTTTTTCATTAATTTCATACATTTTTATGGGATTTCGGTGTAACAATCAACAAATACCGAATCGAACCAAACTGAAAACCGTGACCACAAAACCGTGAATCAAACCGAACCGTGGATTTTGTGAACCGTTCCACCCCTAGTCTCCATGGTCTCTCCCAGCTAATCCCAGGCCCAGGTTTCTCCTTCTGCAACTGCCTGGGCATTGGAACACCTTGCCTCTAAGTACTTGTTTTCTGCCTTAGGAGCCCCACAAGCCAACCCATATGAATTTGGACAACTTTTATTTTCCTTTTGTATATACAGAGTGTATACAAAAAAAAAGTTTTGCATCTTTCAGACAGTAAATGAGCAGCAGCTTAGCAGTGAAATGAACATTTCCATTTCATAAAGTGCAGCAGTGATTAAAGCTGCAGTATTGTAATTTTGTGATTATGTATTTTGTGATTTTTTTGTCATTTGTAATACTGTGTTTTGTATTGTAATATTGTAGCTGGTCGTATATTGATACAACATATTGAAGGCATCTCTTACTGCTGGTATCAACCATCAGTGGTTCCACTTTCAGCAGGCACCACAGACGTTACAGCCATAACTACGGGCAACCGCATCAACACAAGCAGAGAAGAACATGGTCCACTCAGTCTCCATGTCCCTAGTCTCCTCTCCTCCTCCGAGAAAGGCTCTCCTGAAGGTGGGAGTTCAATACATCCCTGACCGAGGGCTCTGCAAGTTGTTCCCTACAAAAACCTGACTACCGGCTTTTGCCTGCCGAGTCTGTCTCCTCTTCCACCGTATCAAACACACCAAGAGGTGGTGATTTTTGGACGTCTACCTCTCTCTTAACCCAATTGTCCAATACATGGGCTAAGTAACAGAAGATATGACTACAGAAATCAATCAAGCAGGACAAATTGGGAGATGTTGAGTCACCAGGTCATCTCCATGTCATGTAGGTATTCTGCCCATCCACTGAATCAGGTGAGTCCAATCTGCACAGTGAATTAATTTGTGAGGATTTGACTCGCCTGGTTCAGTGGATAGGCAGAACAAATACATGACATGGAGATGACCTGGTGACATCTCCCAACTCTGCCTGGTGCAAAGTATGCTAATTATTACCTTTATGATTAAAGGTATTTCTTATAGACAATCCATGGCTGAATGAGTGGAACCTGAGGCCTGGCAAAGAGGAACCCAAACACCAGCCCTGGCTCCCCGACCTCAGCCCTGGCTCCCCGACCACCAGCCCTGGCTCCCCGACCACCAGCCCTGGCTCCCCGACCCCCAGCCCTGGCTCCCGGACCACCAGCCCTGGCTTCCGGACCACCAGCCCTGAGTCCCCGACCACCAGCCCTGACACCCCGACCACCAGCCCTGACACCCCGACCACAAGCCTGAACTCCCTGACCACCAGCCCGAACCCCCCGACCACCAGCCCGAACCCCCCGACCACCAGCCCTGACTCCCTGACCCCAGGACTGGCTCCCAGTCAACCAGCCCTGGCTTCCTGACCACCAGCCCTGACTCCCCAACCTCAAGACTGGCTCCCTGAACACCAGCCCTGGCTCCTCGACCCCAGGACTGGCTCCCTGACCACCAGCCGTAGCTCCCTGACCCCAGGACTGGCTCCCTGACCACCAGCCCTAGCTCCCTGACCCCAGGACTAGCTCCCCGACCACCAGCCCTGGCTTCCTGACCCCAGGACTGGCTCCCCGACCACGGGACTGGCATTGATGCATTGTGTAAAAACAAGGTAGAAAAGCCTCAAACAAACAGAGACAGAAAAAAGAGAAAAGACGAAGGACCTTTGCCAAAGATAAATGCTAAACAAAGGCTAAAAAGACAAAGTTTGATCCCAGATTTTTTCTGATTAAAACACTGAGCTCACATAAACACAAATATGCTGTTATTTTTACAGCAATCATCCAATCAGAGTCCATCCAGAGAAGAGCTGAGGACTGTGGGACTGACTTTTAAAGCTTTAACAGGTACTCAGTTCATTTATTTCAACAAATATCAACATAAAATATAAATCCATCATTGAAAGTTGCTGCTTTCTTAGTAGAAGGTTTATTAATCTAAGGAAGCAAAACATGGTATACTAAACAAAAGTTGAATCTTTATTGTATGGATGAAGGTCAGAATGGGACACCATTGGATTGTTTCTTTGGATTAGAGTTCTACTAAAACTGGTTCTTGTGACTACAAATACCCACAATGTTACAGAGGAAAAATTTAACAATTGGCTCCTGATGTGTTTCTATATCTTTTATGGAGGCATTGTAATGTGTCCTCACCTCATAGTAGCTCCTCACAGCATTGCAGAAAGCTTCATCAGCGACAATCTGAGTTTCACCGTTGAGAAAGGCCAGGAAGCGCTCCTTGACTGTCTGCAGCTGCTGCTTGTTAACCTGACAGAAAACAGTGAAGCACACAGAGGAGTAAATATAAACCCCATCATCAGTAGTGTTTAGTGTCAGCGTAGTAATTAGATATAATAATACTGTAATAAGGATTATTATTTAATAACAGTACAGCTGTATTTTAACCTTGGGTCATTCAGTGAAAGATTTATCACCTAGATTAGATCCACCCTCCTTTGGTTGGTGATTAATAACTCTGCTGAAAGCCGTTATCTAAATTACTAAATTGGTGAAGCCAATGGATAAATTAACTATAAGTTTGGGTAAAATAACACATCCATCCATCCATTCTGGCACGCTTAATCCCAAGTGGGGTTGCAAGGGGTGCTTGTGCCTGTCTATGGGCAAGAGGCCCATATATATATATATATATATATATATATATATATATATATATACACTCACCGGCCACTTTATTAGGTACCCCATGCTAGTAACGGGTTGGACCCCCTTTTGCCTTCGGAACTGCCTCAATTCTTGGTGGCATAGATTCAACAAGGTGCTGGAAGCATTCCTCAGGGAGTTTGGTCCATATTGACATGATGGCATCACACAGTTGCCGCAGATTTGTTGGCTGCACATCCATGATGCAAATCTCCCGTTCCACCGCATCCCAAAGATGCTCTATTGGATTGAGATCTGGTGACTGTGGAGGCCATTTGAGTACAGTGAACTCATTGTCATGTTCAAGAAACCAGTCTGAGATGATTCCAGCTTTGTGACATGGCGCATTATCCTGCTGAAAGTAGCCATCAGAAGTTGGGTACATTGTGGTCATAAAGGGATGGACATGGTCAGCAACAATACTCAGGTAGGCTGTGGCGTTGCAACGATGCTCAATTGGTACCAAGGGGCCCAAAGAGTGCCAAGAAAATATTCCCCACACCATGACACCACCACCACCAGCCTGAACCGTTGATACAAGGCAGGATGGATCCATGCTTTCATGTTGTAGACGCCAAATTCTGACCCTACCATCCGAATGTCGCAGCAGAAATCGAGACTCATCAGATACACCTGTCCAACTGCTCGTTAACACTTAATTTCTAAGCAGCCAATCACATGGCTGCAACTCAGTGCATTTAGGCATGTAGACATGGTCAAGACAATCTCCTGCAGTTCAAACCGAGCATCAGTATGGGGAAGATAGGTGATTTGAACGTGGCATGATTGTTGGTGCCAGAAGGGCTGGTCTGAGTATTTCAGAAACTGCTGATCTACTGGGATTTTCACGCACAACCATCTCTAGGGTTTACAGAGAATGGTCCGAAAAAGAAAAAACATCCAGTGAGCGGCAGTTCTGTGGGCGGAAATGCCTTGTTGATGCCAGAGGTCAGAGGAGAATGGCCAGACTGGTTCGAGCTGATAGAAGGGCAACAGTGACTCAAATAACCACCCGTTACAACCAAGGTGGGCAGAAGAGCATCTCTGAACGCACAGTACGTCGAACAGAAGACCACACCGGGTGCCACTCCTTTCAGCTAAGAACAGAAAACACATACATACGTATGTGTATATATATATACATACGTATGTGTATATATATATACATACCTATGTATATATATACATATATATATATACATATACACATATTTATATATATACATATGTATATACATACACATACATACATATATACATACACATACATACATATATACATACACATACACATACATACATACATATACATACACATACATACATATACATACACATACACATACATATACACACATACACATACATATACACACATACACATACATACATACATATACACACATACACATACATACATACATACATATACACATACACATACATATATACACATACACATACATATATACACATACACATATATATATATATATACACATACACATATATATATATATATACACATATATATATATATATACACATACACATATATATATATATACACATACATATATATATATATACACATACATATATATACACATACATATATATATATATATATATATATATATATATACACATACACATATATTGTTGGGAGCTGGAGAAATTCCACCTTTCTCCAGCAGAGTCCGCCGTGGATCCGTGGATCAGACCCAAACCTGAAGATTCACAGTGAACCTCCAAGCAGCTCTTGACTAGAGCTGGGAAACCCAAAGCCAAGGTCTGTTCAAATAAGACGTGAGACGCTGAAGCAGCAAACGGACTCTGCTGATGAACTCATCTCCAGAACCAACAGAAACTCTCCCAAAGCTAACCTCAAGAACCCTCAAGGTACAATCAGTAAACTTCAGGAAATCAAACCTCTGTTGGCAACGCTAACTGAACTGTCTCTCACGCAGACTCCGGTGAACCAGAATCCAGGCCCCGAACCTGAACCAGTGTATACTGTGTGCTTGTGCATAAATAAACTGTTAAACTTTCATCCTTGTGTCCGTCAGTGGTGTTCTGCATTCTTGGGTCGCTTTTAGTGAACCCATCATGACAGAACACTGCGGCCAAACTCAAGGCCCAGCAGATCACTACATCCGTCGACTAGAGGAACAGGCTGCCCAAATCCATGGACACGGCCTGGCTCTACGTGAGTTAAACACCCACATAGAAAGACAAAATCAAGCTATTCAAAGCTATGCTAACTACGTGAACAGCGCTAATGCTGCATCGGTACAACAACCATTTCCGGGTCCAGTCCCTCCTCCGAGGTCACCTGCAGTGACGTCATCAGAGTTCCGTCCTAGTCTCCCAGAAAGATTTTTTGGTAACATGAAAGATTGCAAAGGATTTTTATTTCAATGTCGGTTGATTTTTCAGAACTCTCCTGGCTGTTTTTCCACGGATCACAAGAAGATAACTTTCATTCTCTCGCAGTTAACAGGAAGAGCCTTGGAATGGGCTCAGGCAAGATTTGCAGCTGACGATAGCTTAAACTGCTACTACTCTGATTTCATCTCTGAATTTACCCAGGTATTCAACCAAGAAACTGACCAAACTATTGATTCTAGAGCTCTTTTCAACCTAAAACAGGGAAACTCTTCGGTGGCTGAATTTTCCATTAAAGCTACAGTGTGTAATTTTCAGCGACATCTAGCGGTCAGACTGCAGACTGCAGCAACATGAACGTCTCCCCCCCACCGCTTCTCCCCCCCAACAGTACGGCGAGCGTTACGGGACAAAATGTCTTCCACGACCTCCGCATCACCTACCTTCTCAAGTGATGAGGTTTGTTTACATAGATAATTTTACAGATAGTATTTCATTAGTCTGTGTAGGGTATAGATTTCATGTAGACTTAAGATAATAAATATACCCGTTATTTTTTCTACGTCGTTGTGACGTTTTGGTGAGCTGCTTTGCATGGTGATATAAACAGACGAAGTAATTGTAGTCATTAGTTTAACAGCGAGATTGTGTTCGCTGGAAGAATATATATTCCCCGTTTACAGAGTCCAAGTCTTGTTTGTGGCACGGGGGTTACAAGGCAAGGAAGAGGGAAAGGAAGAGGGCAGAGAGGCCGGGGTGAGCGTGCAGCTGGGGCCAGGCGAGAGAGGGGAGCCAGCGGGGTGAGAGCAGAGGAGGAAAGGCTTGAAGATCTCCAAAGGAGCCGGAGAGAAGTAACCGAGGTATATATCCAGAAAATTATTTTACAGAAAATTACTGAATCCTTACCTGTGAAACGTCAGGGACGTTGCTGAATAAGTATACTGGAGAGTAACAGCATCATCACGCAGCATGTTATTGTTTTAGACAGGTCTGAGCATCCTGTACTCCAAAAACTGCAGTGATATTAGACAATTGTGTGTGTAGGATTAATTACCTGTCCAAGAGAAAACTGGCAACTTGAGCGTCACTTTGAAAACCTTTTTCCTCCATCAGTGACTTCCATCGTGTAAATGCCGTGCCAATGTTGATCCGTGTTTTTTGTCGTTTCTTGTCACTCTTGCGTTTATTCTCGTCGTGTTTCCGCTTCTTAGATGACGGGGGTTCGGTGTCCGCCGCTTTTCGTTGTGATACAGAGTAGGCATGATCCTCCATTCGTCTGATGTTTGGCCACACAGTGCCAAACAGTTTGCAAAGTCACTCACGCCTGCCGCCTTGTTTACCTTTCTTGTTACCGAGGCGCAGTATACCTGCTTCTTCTTCTTCTTTGGTTTCAGGCAGACTAAACGCTTCTCAGGCATAATACTGCCATCTACTGTTCAGTACCGTCTCAGTTCATCTCTCTCAACTTGCCGTAGTTATTTTCGAGCGTCATGGGAGATCTCGCAATCGCTAGTTTGTTGCCTCTGCGCTGCCGTAGCGCAAAGATGTCAGCCTCCATGGCTGCGAGACCCGCTCCTATGTAATTATAAATAACGAATTCTAAGGCAACGCAAATGTTATGGTTAAAAGGCTGAGCTCATAGGTGATGATAAATAACATAGTTATGTATAATATATTAAATTTCTGAATTTATATGCCTGTAATTATTACACACTGTAGCTTTAACTTCCGGGTTAAAGCGGCAGCTTCCGGATGGAACCAAAGCGCTTTAAAGGGAGCCTTTTTCATGGCATTAAACGAGCACATAAAAGATGAGCTCGCAACCCTCGACGAACCTGCTACCCTCGAAGACTTAATTCGCCTCTCCATTAGATTGGATAATAGAATTCGTGCCAGAAACAGTTCAAAGAAGCAAGGTACACTTTCTTCTGCCTCACATAACGTGACTGTTTGTTCTTCCTCTACAGAGCAGCCGCCCTTTCTGAGGCCTAAGTCCCAGTCTCTACCGTTGCCTGTTCAGGCCTCTCATTCGGGCGAAAGGGATGTCGAACCCATGCAGGTGGGACACACCAGGCTCACTCCAGAGGAGAGGCAAAGGCGTTTTCTATCACTGTGGTGAGAGTGGACACTTCGTCGCTTCCTGCCCGGCTAAATCAAAAGCCCGGGCCCGCCAGAGGATCTGAGGAGTCTGGCGGGCCAAATAAATACTAAGAAAT